GAGCTTAGGAACAGCACCCAGGCTCAGAGTTCAAGGCCCATGACTGACAAAAAAAGAAAGGAAGGAAGGAAAGAAGAAAGGAAAAAAGAAAGAAAGGAAGGAAGGAAGGAAGGAAGAAAGAAAGAGAAAGAAAGGAAGAAAGAAAGAAAAAAGAGAGAAAGGAAGGTAGAGAATAATGTATCTTTGTGTGGAAAAAACCCCTCACAAAATGCATATTTGTATTGATTTGTATGTATATAAAATATTAGTGGAGCCAGGAGCCAGTGGCTCACACCTGTAACCCTAGCTACTCTGAAAGCTGAGATCTGAGGATTGTAGTTTGAAGATAACCCAGGCAGGAAAGTCCATGAGACTTTTACTTCCAAGTAACCATCAAAAATACCTGGAAGTGGAGCTGTGGCTCAAAGCGATAAAGCTCTAGCCTTGAACAAAAGAGCTCAAGGACAGCACCCAGGCCTTGACCACCACCACCAATAACAACACAAACACAAAACAACAACAAAGAACAATTCCACAAACCAAAGTGGCAAAGACAGAGCTTCTACAAACCTACAGTTGAGAGCTACAGGGGAGCAAAGCAGTAGGGCAAGGAGGGAGAGGAGGGAAGAGCTGGAACAAAGGAAGGACATGCGTTTCCATACTCTTTTGCTTTCTTTTTTTCTTTTGCTGATCCTCTGGCTTAAATTTAGGACCTGGGCTTTGTCCGAGAAATTTCTATCCCCCTCTCCCATCCAAAACTAGTGCTCTACCACTTGAGCCACAGCTCCACTTCTGTTTTTTTTTCAGTGGTTAATTGGAGATAAGAGTTTGGTTCATCTCTTCTCAGGTGTGCTTTGCTTATTGGGCTGCCCATTCCTCAAACTCAGGGATGCTCTTGCAGTTTGAGCAATCAATATCTTCCTTCCTTCCTTTTTCTTTCTTCTGTTTCTTTCTCTCTCTCTCTTCCTCTTGCTCTCTCTGTGCTTGAACTCAGGACCTGGGTACAGTCCCTGAGTTGTTTTGTACAAGGCTGGCAATCTACCACTTGGGCCATAGCTCCACATCTGGCTTTTTGGTGATTAATTGGAGATCTGAGTCATGATATCATGTTCTGGCTGGTTTCAAATTATGACGGTCAGATCTCAGACTCCAGGATTATAGGTGTAAGCCACTGGAGCCAACCTCATTGTTCCTTTTCTTTTTTGCGGGTCTTGGGGCCTGGGTGCTATCCCTGAGCTCTTTCACTAAAGGTTAGCGCTCTACCACTTTAAGCCACAGCACACTTCTGGTTTTCTGGTGGTTACTTTGACTTTCCTGCCAGGCTGGCTTCAAACTGCGATCCTCAGATCTCAGCATCCTAGTAGCTAGGATTACAGGCATGACTAGTGCCAGGCTCCATTGTTTCTTTTTTTGGTGTAAACATTTTTTTACACTTTCTTTGAGTAACAAGATCTTCCCAGAAAGCAGTGACATCCTTAATTTACTTGACTTATGAAGTCCTCTTCTCTTTCTCCAGAAAAGTTTTCCAGAATAGTTTGATTTGTTTTAAAGATTGCTTTTTGAGAATCTTATGACACCCCTTTGAGATACCTGGCAACACTCTGGGGTGTTGCGAAACCCAGCTTGGGAGCGATGGACTCCCAAGCTGATCAGCAAGAAGCTTTGGCCAAGTGGGGCCTTCACCACCCTGGCATGATTGGGACCTAGCCAGGGAGGGGCGGGGCCACTGCCTCCTCACCTCCACCCTCTGGGCCTTTCCCTGGATCCAGGGCCTGTATGGGGTCCTTTATGGGCATGGAAAACATTCACTTGAGATCCCGCTACAAACCCTGCTCATGGGTGAGCTGCTGGGTCCCTGGGAGCCCAGCTGGTCCTTCTTCCTCAGGGATAATTTTAGGTTTTCTCTGGTCCCCTCCAACCTTCCTGACTCCTGACCCCTGGCTCAGCCTCCCAGAGGGATTGCTTAGACCAGTGACTATACAGGGTGTCTTTGAAATACTGAGCAGTTCAGACGAACAGCTCGGGCATGGCCCGGGAGGCATTTTCCATGATCATTTTGTTCTCCTTTTGTCCCATTGTTCCAGGGGAGGAAGCGAGACAGCTCAAAGATGAGGTCTTGTTAGACCTGACAAATTCATAAAGGAATGAAATCTTTCTACCTCTCAACTTGAAAACTGGGGCTTATTTTCCAGCCTTTCCTCCCCACGCCCAGTTTTAGAGGAACTGACTTAGAGATTGGCAGAACTAGGAGAGGGAGAAGTTCTGGGAATCAGGTGAGAGAAACTTCTGCTAGGTCTGTGGTATGAGGGATTTTAGAGGCATTAAAATACTGGGCCATATGACATCTATAATCCTAGCTACTCAGGAGGCTGAGATCTGAGGATCTTGGTTCAAACCTAGTCTTGGCAAGAAGGTCTGAGAAAAGTCTGTGAGACTCTTATCTCCAATTAACTGCCAAAAAAGGCAGAAGTGGAGCTGTGGCTCAATTGGTAGAGTGCTAGCCTTGAGTATAAGAGCTCAGGAACAGGCCCTGAGTTCAGCCCCAGTACTAACACCTGTCTGCCTGCCTGTGCACATTCTCTCTCTCTCTCTCTCTCTCTCTCTCTCTCTCTCACACACACACACACACACACACAAATAGCACATAGTAAATAAAACACCAGGCCTGCCTATCCAGACATAATGAGTGAGTTCTTCAGCCCAATGTCTTCTAGTTTTCAAAAGGTCATGAATAAAATCTTCAAGGAAGTGGTGTGAACACTTTACGATGAAGGAGAGGAGGGGTGAAAGAATCATGGATAGCTGGGTGTGATTCTGGACAAACTTCAACCATAAACCCATTTGTTTTTTCAGTGCTAGGTTGAAGTCAGGGCCTCAGGCATGTTAAACACACCTCCACCATTGAGTTACATCCCAGCCTTCATTTATCCACCCCCCTCTCCTTTGATATGTTTGTGTGGTACTAGAGATTGAATTGGAACATTCAACATGACAAAGTACTCTATCACCAAGCTAGGTCCCAAGTGAAAAAAAAAAAGAAAGAAAAAGAAAAGAGGAAAAGGAAAAGAGCCAGGTTTTGGTGGGTTATGCCTGTAAGCCTAGTTACTCAGGACACTGAGATCTAAGGATCAAGGTTTGAAGCCAGCCTGAAAATCCCCAATTAATCACCAAAACGCCAAAGTGGAGATTTACTCAAGTTGTAGAGCACCAGTCAGCTCAAGACTCTGAGTTTAAACCTCAGTACTGAAAAAAACAATAACAACAACAATAAAACAGTTTGGATCAGGGTATTGCCACGTAGCTCAGGCTGGGATCAAAACTGAACTCTTCCTGCCTTGGTTTCCCGAGAGCTAGGAATATAGGTCTGCACTACTTTGTCCATCTCTTCTTTCTCTTCTTCTTCTTCCTTTTTCTCCTCCCCCTTCTCCTTTTTCCCCTCCTCCTCTTTCCCCTCCTCCTTCTTCTTTGTCTGTACTGGGATTAGAATTTACAAATTTACAATTTTGCACTAGGTGATGCTCTACCTCTTGAGACATACCCCTGGCCTGCATTTATCAATTTTTTGTCAGTTGTGGGACCTGAACTCTGGGCCTGGGTGCTGTCCCTCAGCTCTTCAGCTCAAGGCTAGCACTCTACCACTTGAGCCACAGTGCCACTTCTGGCTTTTTCTGCTTATGTGGTGCTGAGGAATTGAACCCAGGGCCTCATGCAGTCAAGGCAAGTGCTCTACCACTGAGCCACCTTCCCAGCCCCTATAGAATGTCTTTTATGATGGTAGAATTTAAAGGGGTCTACTAAAAGTTTTTATGTGTGCAAGGTGTGTGGAGGAGGAGATAGAGATAAAAAAAACCTATCAGCATCTGATGCTGAATAATTTGAAATGCAAGTGAAAAAGGGCAGGTATAGGAAATGTGAAATAGAGTCATTTCCCCAGTAGCTGGAAGGAAAAAAAGAAGAACAGAAAACTGAATGGAACACAGGGAAAATGGAACATAAGAAGGGAAAGGATACAAATCCCATTATCTGAATCCTTGGGAGAGGAGAGGATATTGGCTGCCCTATATTGCTTAATTTTGAAAGCCTTAGAGGGGTATTGTAAGTAAGTCTGGATGTGACGGTTCTGAGGCAGGAACATTCAAAGTTGAAGATCAGCATAAGCCTTATATTGAGACCTTGTCTCAAACCAACAAATAAATGTAAAACTAAATCATGTGGCAGGTGCAGTGATTACTTTTAATCCCACTCTGGAGGCTGAGGTGGGGAGAACTGAGGTTTGAGGCCAGCCTGGGCAAAAAAGTTTACCGGGAGGGCTGTTCAAATGGTTGAGTGACAATCCAGTAAGCAATCCAACAAGCTAGCTAGAGCATTGAGTTCAACTCCAATACCTAAATAAAATAAAAACACATCCATGGGATCCTGTTGCAACAAAAAGCAAACTCTTATTTCATAAACAAAACCAAGTAAAAAGGGCTGGAGGCTGGCTCAAGTGGTAGAGCTCTAGCCTAAACAAAAGGCCCTGTGTTCAAATCCCAGTGTCACCAATATATATTTTAAAAAATAAAGTCGTTGACAGGGGACCTGGAGTAGAGGAGAGGCTAATACAGGTCTTTCTGCTTGCCTTGGGAAGGTCCTGTCCTGATCTGGTAAAGCCTGGAGGTGGGAAGAGTCTCCCATCCCCTTCCCCTGCCCAGCTCCAGGGAGATCTAGGCGGGAAGGAGCTGTGGAGCTCCTGACCATGGTGGAGTGGACTAATGGCGGCAGGGCGTCCCTCTCCACCCTCCAATACCCTCCAGAGGTCTCTCTGCTGGAGACTATTGGCCGCTGCCCCTTTAAACGCCGCCACTCCTCCCCAAGAGCAGTGGCTTTGAGGAGTAGGGGCTGAGGTGGGGGGTGGGGTGGGGGAGAGCTGAGCCCGTAGGGAAGATGGCCCAGACAGGGGGAGTCGCTCTCACATCCTGCTGTCCCCTCTCCTGAGCCAGGAGACCCGGGGGGACCCCTCCTGCCCCACTCCCGACGCGGAGATGGCTGCGTGGCCTTACAGGAATGGCTCTCTGGTCTGGTGGCCAGGCGCTCCCACGCCCGATCCCGCCGACACGAGTGGGCTGCCAGGGGTACCGTGGGCGGCGGCACTAGCCGGGGCGCTGCTGGCGCTAGCCACGGTGGGAGGCAACCTGCTGGTCATCGTGGCCATCGCCCGGACGCCGAGACTCCAGACCATGACCAACGTGTTCGTGACTTCGCTGGCCGCAGCCGACTTGGTGGTGGGACTCCTGGTTGTGCCTCCAGGGGCTACTTTGGCACTGACTGGCCACTGGCCCTTGGGCGCGACGGGTTGCGAGCTGTGGACCTCGGTCGATGTGCTGTGCGTAACCGCCAGCATCGAAACCCTCTGCGCCCTGGCGGTGGACCGCTATCTGGCTGTCACCAACCCGCTGCGCTACGGCGCCCTGGTTACCAAACGCCGCGCCCGGGCGGCCGTGGTCCTGGTGTGGATCGTGTCGGCCGCGGTGTCGTTCGCGCCCATCATGAGCCAGTGGTGGCGCGTGGGAGCCGACGCCGAGGCGCAGCGATGCCATTCCAACCCGGGCTGCTGTTCCTTCGCCTCCAACATGCCCTACGCGCTGCTCTCCTCCTCCGTGTCCTTCTACCTGCCGCTGCTCGTCATGCTCTTCGTCTACGCGCGGGTCTTCATCGTGGCTAAGCGTCAGTTGCGCCTGCTGCGCCGGGAGCGGGGCCGCTTCCCTCCCGAGGAATCCCGGTCCGCCCCGTCCTCCCCGCGCTCCCCGTCCGCCTCGCCGCGCTCACCGTCCTCCGCG